ATACATCTATCTAAAATTACTGTATTCAAGGCGTTTGAAGGGGTGTCGAGGAGACCCTTCGGCAGGGTGAATATCGGTCGAGGAAATCCTCGACAGGGGGGTCGTACCTGTTGGGCTGGTCCATGGGGGGTCGTACTCTTGGGGGTCAGTAACAGAAGTGGTATCATGGTGCAGATAGGTAATAGGGTATAGCGCAGCAGAAAATGAAAACATCCGAAAAAAAAACATGATATTAAATTTTCTTTGCAGGTTCAGTCGCTCCATTCCTCCACCTTCATGAGAAGGGCGTATTTGAAGGCAGTACAAAGAATGAAAGTGCATCCCCGCAAAGAAGAGTGCCACATGTGCGCACGCGCTGCAAAGGCACCTCCTCCGCCTATCACTCGCTCCTTCTCCCTTAATACCTCGCTGAGAATGACGCTGTTGTTAGGGACCCTGTCGGAAAAACGACAACCGTGAAGAAAAAGCGCTGGGCAAATGAAGTTGTTTTTAGGTTACAGGAATAGCACAACACACTATGTCTACTACAATACAGTTTCGTTCGAAGGTCCCCATCATATAACACCTTTCAATCGATTCTGCAAACTTGTAATAGTGCGAGAGGAGGGATGCATGGCTTATACCAATACCAAATCGGATGATGACGATTGCTCCTATTCTTATTGTTTGCGTTCAAAGATATTGTTCTAGACACATTCCGAGTGTTGCCAACGAGTCACACTTGCAATGGTGAATGAGGGAGCGGATTTCCAGGTGGCCGGATCCGACCTCGGATTAGGATATGGCCTCGGGACGCAGTTATCTGCTTCGAGACGCAAAGAGCCGGTAGAGGAAAACAAACAGACCCGGATCACGGAAGCGGCGAACCTCTGTCGTTGACCAAACAGCGTACGGCTTCCCTTTTATCACGGATGCTTACGAACGCTCGATAAGGGGGCGAAGAAGGAAATATAGTTGCCTCTTGAAGCGGCGCGAGACAAACGACGGCGCGGGCGGAAGAGAGTCTTGGGCTCCTGCGACACTGTGACGTCGAGAGCAGAGATGGTTGACGAGACGCTATCGTGTCTGCAAGGAAGGCGTTCCAGAGCAATTTCGGAGGGTATGGTTGGTATGGAAGAAGCGCGAGGAATCCGAGGCCGCCGGTGATCTAACTTCTACCTCAGGCTGCCTGTCCCGGGAAAGGGTGGGTGAGAGTGGAGGGGGAATGCAAGGCGGTTGCATCGGACGGGCTGGTAGAGTCGGAGCGGTTTGTTTTTTTGAGAATGTTGTCGGCCCGCGGCGGGCAACGTCCCACGCTGAGGATGCTTACGATTCTAATCTCAAGCAGTCTAGAGTAACGGCGTTCATCACTGCGAGTCCGAACTCAGTTAAGGGCACATTCTGAATTTGCTGAAGGAGATCTTTTTGATGGAACTCCAGTTGGTGGGAGAGGGGACTCCATTGTGCTCTACAATACTATGGATAAGGATAAGAGTTTTCATGACACGTAATCGATTCGCCAAAGGAAATGGTCCTGATCTAGGACATGGACATCCTTTTCTAGGCGCAAGGGTGTAGGAGCCCAGGGTGGACGATCACATGCCATAAATTGCCTAGGATGTGAGCAGGATGTGCGTGATGTAGGGCATACACCGGTCCTTATCAAAAGTGCACTTGAAATGAGTCGTTACCTATTGTCTTATCTATGGAGTTGAAGGAAGCGGTCACGGAAATTCCCATGGAGACGATAGGGAAAGTGACATAGTGGATTGGGTAGGGGTCCTACCCAATGGGACGACAGGTGACGCTTCAGGGCAGTGGCGCCTTATCAACGGCGTGATAAGGCGCCGAAACCCACTTCCGGTTCGGCGTTGCACCTCCTCATCAGACGTGGAAGGGGATGCAACAGCAGCGTGCTAGAATATGAT